GCATTCATGACTGAGTGTCTATGCGCTGATCGTGGGAACAGGGCAAAGTGTTCATCTTCCCCTAAGCAGATTATGATCTGCTTAGCAAGATGGGGCATGCAGGGAGCCAGAGTATCGATCAAACACAACCAGTGTGGAGGACATAGAGAGCATGCAGAACCACCTAAATATAAGTCAAGACAAAGGCCAGAGTCCAGGATACACAGAAACTTCAGGAGCTGAGACGAGTGGTGAACCCGCAACCCTGAAAAACTGTGTCCTTAAAAACAGCCCATCCAGCAAGATCCCCAGGGAATGATGAGGGTGGACATTGGGAACAAGGAGTGGTGCCCCAACAGACTGGACTGGAAAAAAAAAAGAAAACCTTATGTAACACATATTATCTTATGTAACACTACAAGAAAAACGCCCCAGGTTGGAAGGCACTACGTAATTGCTGCAGCAAGAGACCCAATCATACCAAGTGTCATCAAGAGGGTACATTCTTGGGCAACAGTTCATCCTGTTATACATATTGTCACCATGAGTTGATGCCAACGTGACAACAAATAACAATACAATGGCTGGTCTGGCATTCACCTTTGGAGAGATTCAGAATACAAATCCTGGGCTTGGGCTAGGCTGACCAGTGGGGCAAGCAAGAGTTCTGACTGGCCCCTTACTTGTTTTGGACTTTTATGTGTGACCCCAGTGCTTATGCAAATATCCAGAAGTTGTTTGCTTTACCTAGTTCTCACTGATGAGGTCTCTTCTGGAAATAAGGTACCCTGGTGATACAGGTTCAAGTGGTTGCTTCTTGTGAGAGAGATGTGGCAGCTGCTTCCATAAAGATTTCCAATATCAGAAACCCTGTTGGGGGCAGTTCTACGTCTACTAGGATTGCTATGAGTCAGAATTAACTTGATAGCAATTTTTTTTAAATTCCCTTGGAAATATGTCTTGAATTCTGGAAATTGACACAAGAAGATTTAAGGACCTCATTGTACAAAATGGCAGGTGAGCGAGCTAAATCTATATTATATGAAACATACAATGGCAAAGTCCAAATTTCTTACATTTTGGTAGTATTAAATTTGTTTGGAATACATACACTATTGTTGATGAGGAATTTTAATATTTCTTAATTCCTTGACATGACTGATAGTCCATAACATTTCTTGTCAAAAGAGACGGATAAACTATAAATATAGCCTATGCATCATCTTGGGGAAATTAGGGTGGTAATTGTGAAAGTGTGAAATGTGATAGGATTTGGAATGGACATGGATAAGAACTGAAGGGGCAAAAAACAAACACAAAATTCCAGACTGTGCAACTCGGGCTTTTTTCATAGCAATGTTTTTAAGACTAACAACGTTAAAATTTATCTATTTGTGGTGAGACTTAAAAAGAAATAATGATAGTAATCTAATACTTTGTAGAGCACTTTATGGCTGTCAAAGCATTTTTACATATATTATACTCTATATGTACATATTAATTTTCCTGGCAGTACTCAAAATGGCTGTAATCTAAATAAATATGAATTAAGCAGCAGATCAATTGATTGCTATGAAAGAACATTTAAAAGGATCATGGTACAACTTCAGCAGTAATCAGAGTTGTTATAATTGGTATTTTATGCAAGGAGTTTATACTCAGTGGCAAAAAAAATTCTTGGACTACTTAATGATTTTTGAATCTGGGTCATCAGAAGGAAAAAGCAGACTTTGGGGACCAGCTACAATATTTTTCTTCCTCCCAGTTCATGGAGACAATAAGTCTATCTATCGTGCTTGGTAAAGTGGAGAGGCAGCAAAAAAAAGGAAGACCCTGGATGAGATGGATTGACACAATGACTGCAATAATGGGCTCAAACATAACAATTGTGCGGATGGCGCAGGACCTGGTGGTGTTTGTTCTGCAGCCCGAAGGGTCACCCCGAGTCAGAAATGCCTTGAGGACACCTAACAACAAGATCAACTCCAGACGAGAGACATGTATCTTGCCTATCATTGTAAAGCCACACCCAATTTCCCCACAGAGGATTTGCTCACTCCTCTAATGTGAAATGTCTTTCTTTGTGAGTGCCCTTAGTAGGGATTGTATGCATGCCAAACGACCACAAGACTTGGCTTTATCTCTGGGTCAAGAGTCCCCAGAAATAATCATTGCTACAGCTGAAGACGCTACACATTTAGGCCATGTCCAACAAATTCAAGTATCTGCCATATTTCTCTAAAAAAAGAACTTTCTTGAACTTATATGCATAGTTTCAAGGTCTTTTTCATTTAGAAAGGCATAAACTGCATTCTTGTTGAATAAACGATCCCTTCTTAGCATTGACCTCAATTTTGCGATGGGGACAAAAGTGAAGAGAGTTTCCACGGGCCCCTCATTGGGTAGTAATACAAAGAGAATTTGAAATGATCTTTTGCAAGGCATACATAGATGAGTGAGTGAACAAAATTTGAAAAATTAGATGAAAATGATTTTGAAGACCAAAATAGTGACCCTTTATTGAGTATCCCTGAGACGTTCTGCTCCAGGAAAGAGCAACAGTTTGGGAACCCACAGGGCAGTTCTAGCCTGTTTTATAGGGTTGCTACAAGTTGAACCTGACTCCATGGCAGGGAGTTTGGTTTGTGTTTATGCGCCAAACCCCTGTTCATCACTCTAT